CAAATATGTCGGAAGTACAACAACTTATAACTTTAAAAATGCAAACAACCTAACAGACATTCAATGTAATACTTGCATACTTCTTCTTCATTTGTTTCTCAAAATGTTACTGACTGGAACCTTTTATCTCTTAAAGAGTGAAATGTACCAACTCTTACCAATTTTAAATCCAAACTCAACAAGGATATAAGGAAGGTTCCAGTTAATTTTTACTATTGTGAAAATTTCAAACCCACCATACGCGCCTTAGAAATCATTGCAGTTCATTTAACGAACACTTATTCTAAAAAAAATCATTAATAGTCCCCTTTGCACTTGTGGTGAAATCGAAACAACACATCACTTCGTTTTCAGATGTTTACTATTTGAAAGGCAAAGAATACAGCTAATTGCCAATATCAATTTACTTGCAATTGCAAACCTAACACTTTCTCTTGTTTTATATGGTGATAGTACAATGTAACAAAGTGATTGTTCTTTGATAAATATTGAATGTTTAGAATTACATCAAACACAAATTTGTTTATAAACGAATGTTATCATTAATGGCTATTGTTCCATTCCAAGGAGAGAGTTTCTACAAAAGCATCTAGCTGTCAACTCAATCCTTTTTTTGCATTTGATTTTAATTATAGTACAGTCCGACCCCGGTTATTCGACAACCCTTTATTCGAATACCCGGCGTTATCCGAAGTAGATCGGCGGTCCCGTTTTTATCTCTATATAAATCAATATAAATACAAGCGTATTATTCGAAATGCATTATCCGAATACCTCGTATTTTTCGAAGTAAAATTTCGGTCCCGATTATACAATTATGAAAGAATTTCACACCTATTATTCGAAGCCAGCCTAATTATTATTCGAAGTCAGACTAATTGGCGCAGATCCACTCGCTGACTGGTCGACTTGTGAAAATCATCAATAGTCATGCATGTATTTAGACAATCGTGATAATAGCACTTTTTGTGTTCTTTAATCAACTTTAATTACCGAAAATGAAAAGCAATGCACCGTGTCCGATTTTGTTACTGTTATTGCTTGAAGATGACAGCAATATTTTTCATACATACCGTATATGTAAATTTGTCAAAACATCCAAAACGCTACATAAGAGCCTTTTTCCTAATCGTATATACCAGAGTTTAGCTGTAAATACCGTAGTGACAACACGGCAATTATCAAGGTTTTGCGCGAAACCAAACGATACATAATGTAGAATAAAATGCAAGTATTTATGTCTTCAATGTCAATACAATAATTTTTACGCATCTTTTTTTTTAATATTTAATTTATTATTATTTATTTTTCTCAATTGATTACAGGAAGTAAATGTGTTGTAAACGGTAGTTTTGCTACGATTCGTCAAAGTGGAGTAGTTTTCGTCTATCACAATATTCGGATTTCGATTATTCGAACCCATCGATTATTCGAAGTATATATATATATATATAGAAATGAGAGAATATATACACACATACCACCACATCGATATGCCAGTCCAATTACGGCACAGCGCCTAGCAGAACGGTCATGAAAGCATAGCCACTGCTCATCCACCATCACAAAAATGATGGTTTCAGAACAGCTTTATATACAGTCACAAACTGCACTACACATTGAAACAAGCTCAACATTCACATATATAGAGTTTGTTCTCTGTTATCATATCTCACAAATCAACGATGACATTTTATTGTCTTCTTCACTGATTGGGACCAGAGAACTATATATGTTTATTATATATATGTTTGATTGAAAAAAAATCTATAAGGATGCATTAAAAACCGTATGATTCTAAATAATAGCAAGTTTTTATTTAAAGATATTTCTATTATGTGGCTGAGTAGGTAATATTGTTCACTTCAACCAATAATCCATCACCTCTGTGTTTTAGAATCCCGCTTAGCATGGAAGCTATCAAGCTTGCCTATGATACGTCTGTGATTCGACTCAGAAGCCAGTTTGTGCCTAAAATAATGCACGGAGGAGCAACTGAAGTACAGCTTGAGCCCCAAATTGACATTTGCAGTGTTGATGCGACAAAAGAACCCCCCTAAAAACCATCAAAATAAAACAAACAAACAAACAAACAACATATCAAAATAAAATTCTAAGACGTAATTGCATCACATTAAAGAATGCAAAACGCCTACATTAATTAAATGCTATTCCGTGTACATACTCATCAAAATTAAAATTTGTTTAATCAAAAGTTTCTGTTTACGTTTTTAGGATTGACTTACAAATCGGCCGTGATAGCGAATTCCAAATCGCAAACGCAAAATGCTTTAGGACTCCATAAGTCATTACATCTTAAAAACGTATCGGACTGTGATATGTTACCAGGAAGGTAAACCATTTTTTTTGAAATCTTGACTTAATTTTGATTTAAACAAAATTAATACACTCTAGCAATGTAAAATAATAGGTAAGTAACGTTCACACTTTTATAAAAAAAATTCAACCATTAATGACTGTCATCTTCAAATTTAGAATATCTTATAATAAAAACATTTTACAAGTATTTGAACGATATTGTTCATAGGTATACTGCAAAATTTTAAAACATGCATGTTGATGCCATATATAAAGAGTGCGTTGTTAATTTAAGGTTTAGATTTCCTGCAATTTTGAAATTAGATAATGGTGCATGCGGTATCGGTGCATGCATGGTCAAATGTCAAGAAGATATGAAAAGACATTTTCAACGAATAACAAGTTGTCTGCGTTCCGACTTCAACTATCCGGGGCTTGGATTGAGTCATGGCAATTCAATGACAGTGATGGAGTTTTACAAAGGGACTGAACATAATATTGATATCATTTTATATGATAGAAAGCTTGTGTGGGCATTTGTTACTGACAGTGGAACAGTGCGACAACACTGCTTTGTAGGTAATAAAACTTTATGATAAGTAACAAATCCATATTTATCTACAAAAGCCTTCTTGGATTGTTTTTATTTAATCTGCAAAATAGAAAAAACACAGACACTTAATACATTAATACTAATGATATTACAGCAGGCTCGATTGCATCAAGTCTTTCAAGGAGGAACAATGAAAAAGGCGATTCATCTCCCGATCTAACAATCAGCAGTTTTCATTGTTTATACATGTTCATCTTCATTTAGAAGCTAGCACCAACTGAGATAACAGACATCTGAAAAAAATATTACCCAAAAGCGACTCAACCAAAAGCAAAAATGTAATTACGCAATCTGACTTTCCTTTTTGAGAGACAATAAAAATCCCCGAATACTTCTCAAAGCCCTATCATTTATTGCTTGCTTTGTTTAGAAATATATGTATTAGTGTTACCCCAAATAAACGTTATATAAACGTTTATCAATAACAGAAACTCTAAAGCATAAACATTTTCATAAAACATAAAGTGCCAGATATTTCTGAAAATTTAGCACTCTTTCATTGACAAAATAGTTTACAACGTCGTCACAAGACTAGCCTTTAACTAGTGGTGTGATTTTATTAACAGTATTCATTTAAAAAATAAATGATTTTAGATGGAGACAACGTGTTTTACGCCAGATATAATTTTGAGCCTTGTTCCAAGATATTAAGTCTCGGTTAAAGTACCTTCATTACATGAAATGAGACAGTTGTATTTGTATAGGGACATTAAGAAAAATTGTCCTTCCATTTAAAGTAAATGCAAATTAAAATGTTTTGCAACATAACAAACAAACAAACAGAATAAAAAGTACATAAAATAGGTGCAAATCTTCTGTGAATGTTTTTATAGACTATATTTATTGAGGTCTTATAAAATAAAAAGTGTAATTCCGCAGTAAAAATGCGTCTTATTCATCATAGTCATATAAAATTAGGCTGCTGGCAGCCAAATAAAACTTTATATCGCTTCTTATTTTTATTTCCAGCCACAGCTAAGCGGATGCCATCATATCTTCCACATGACCAAAACAATCGGATTATAGACGCCGCTTTTAGATCCTGCATTGCAATAGGTAATGTAATTCTATTCTTCAGGCCGACAGATAAAACATATATTTCATCAACATCTCTTAACAGCATGTTCGTAAGTTCTTGGTTTCACTGGAACAAATAATAAATACGAACACAGGCTTTAATTTGAATTTTCTGCGAACAAATATATATAGAAAAATATGTTTATTGCATATATTACTATTTACATCTATTCCCTCCTTATATATTTTAATTTTGGTAAACATCTATGATTGAATCAAAAATGCATGCACATATGTTTTTGTTTTTTTGTTGTTGTTTTTTAGTTGTGTAACAATAAATACATGTAGTTGAGTTGGGTTTTTCAATATTTGCGATAAAAGTTTTCATTGTTTAGCTTTAAGTTTAAATTTCTGAATAATAAAACAATATCATTTCACGGAAAAGGTAATTAAATAGATAAAAATATGGTGCTCATGTTTATCAAAAACATCTTGTCCAAAAGATTATCCCATGATAATTGCTTGTGACCATAATGTTTATCTTAAATCTTTAGTTTAATATTTCAATACCGATTTTAAAGATTGTTAAGAACATATAAATTCTTTGACATTGTCCAAAAGAAGAAAAAGCATTACAATATTCTAAGATTGTTTGTTTGTTTGTTTGATTGGGTTTTACGTCACATCGACACAGTATAGGTCATATGGCGACATTCCAGCTTTACTGGTAAAGGAAGACCTCAGGTGCCCTTCCGTGCATTATTTCAGGCACGAACGGGCACCTGAGTAGAACCACCGATGTTCTGTAAGCTTGCTGGATAGACAAATAGTCTAAATAAGCGATGGCACTTATTGATTCCTATATTATACTTATTATTATATACGATACCTGATTAATTTCTTTTTTATTATATAAATTATCAGAATATGTTAACGATGTTATATTGTTATAATTATGTTCATTGTGTTTAAAGGGCTTACGGATGGGTTGTTCAATGTCGAATTCATATTGACTTAAAATGGGCCATTATTATTGGAAATAAATCCTAGAATGAGCGGATACGTTTTACGTGACTGGCTGCAGAAGTTGTACGGAATTGATATTATGGTTTATTCAATGATGGTTGCCTGTGGCATAAAGCCTACAATACCGGAACTCACAACAGACAAAGTACTTATGGGCGTTATGGTCATGCCTTCTCTTCATGCTAAACTTCTGACAGAAGACAACTGTAAACAGAAACTTTATCAAATGATAGAAAATGATGTCATTTTCTTCCTTCAGTTTCGGAAACTTAAGGAGACATTGTCACATTATGAGGCACCTTTCGGAAATGTTGCTGTAACTGGCACGACATCTGATGAGGCCAAGCAGAAGTTACTTAATGTATGCAGAGAGCTTGGTATTGATCAAGAAGATTATCGAGTAGAAGATTTTATACAGACTTTTTAGATTCGTTTGTTAACATAAGTATGTTATTTTTCATGTATGTATAATCAGTTCAATAAAAACAAACGCTTTTCTTAAGCTTTCGACGTTTAGTCTTCTTCAGAAAAAAATGACGTTTATGAAATAACAAATGACGCAACGTCCGTTTAACTATCGCTAAACAGAACGTGACGTTAACGCGGTTATAAAAAACTTTGTCAAATAAATACAGAATCTTTCATGAATATAAAAACAGAAATATACAATAAATTACACATATAATATGGATCTACACATTTGATACAAAAATTCTCATAATTAAAAACCGTGATATGAGAAAAACATACTACATGTATTTGTGTACCGGCTCAATAATGACAAAGTTATATATTTTACAAATTTTGCATTCATACCATTCGGAGATAATGTGTTAAGCTTATGAATCCAGTATGATTCTTGTAATAAGCGTTCCATAACATCGGAGACAATCTCTATGGGCATAAATTTAAAATCCGTAATACAATGATTAGTTTTATTGAAGTGTGTAGCGACATTGGTTGAAAATATTGGATCGGAAAAATTGTTGATATCTAACCTATGGCTGTTCATGCGTTTAGACACTTGTTGCTTCGTTTGACCAACATATTGCTCTTTACATTTATCAGAAGTGACAAGATATATAACATTTTTCGTAGAACAATCAGTATTATTACCCCTCACTTTTTTGCGTAATGCTAATTTCCCATAGGCCTCTGGCAGTTATTTTTACTGTTAATGCAAGTGTACCACGTGACTAAGAATTTTGTACTGTTACATAGGTAACAGTATTTTTTAAGAGGTCATGTGGTATATTTCCTAAATAAAATGAAATAAAATGGAATGAAATTCATTCTTATTTTCAACGTTAAACCCCGATAGGACATTAATTTCTCCTCTGGAGTCACTATGTCACTCATAAAATTTAGTTGTTTGCACCCTGGTGTGCATTTCGCGTATAAAATATCTTTTTGTTGAATAGTCAAAAACTGAGCATCCGTTTTCAACGGTGTAAATAATTATGTGTCAAACTTGAACATGCAGACGATTTAAGCATGCAACAAAGGATTATTTAACAAATTTAATCAGTGAAACGTTACAGATATGATGGACATAGGATATATCATCGTTATTTTGTCAAAAACCATGCTAAGAATATTCTGGAAACAGAAGGATCATATTTCACAGATCATAACCGTGTAAATGGATTAGTGTTTTGTTTCCTAAATAAAACCTAGCTTATTGTATGTTTATGATTTGTAAATATCATCACTTGCTTAAAGAATAAAAGAAGAAAAAACTTCTCAAGTAGGCCTACAGTAAAGTACACTTAAAACTTCAAAGGTAAGGACAGTTTAGTTATTGTTACTCTTGGTTTATTTTTGTTACAGTTAGATTTAGTTGACAATTTCAGATCATCTCAGTATTTTTGTTCGGGGTAATAAAATAAATAACACATTGGTTGGTGAGTAACAGTAAAAATATCATCCCTCGTAAAAATACTGTTACCCTCGGCTACGCCTCGGGTAACAGTATTTTCCTCGGGATGATATTTTTACTGTTACCCAAAAACCCATGTGTTATTTATATATTGTTATTTACATGATAATTCTTACCAGGAATATTAGTACTACTAAATATATTGCTTTCAATAATGGAGCTGCAATGTGTACATCTACTTCTATTACATTTGGATGAACATTTCGCATTTTTGTTATTAGACTTAACATTAGAATTATCGAGAATGTCTTTAAGATTTTAAGGTCTTTTAAATGCAACCAAAGGTTTACTTTCATGAAGCTTTTGCACAGAACCTTTACTTGAAAGTTTAAGTAAATCCCAATACTTTTTAATGATATTACTAATATTAGGTAAAGTTGGGTTATACTCAACAACAAAGGGAATAACACTGCCATCAGTTGTTTTGTTGTAAGTGCACAGGGCCTCATCTTGTGTTAGACATGAAACCTTACTAAGTGCATTATCAATAACATTGATAGGATAACTTCTTTCTTTGAAGTATGTACGTAAGTTCTGTAAAGAATCGTTGAAAACATTATCGTCAGAAATGATACAGCGATAATGTTTTCCTTGACTGTACGGAATACCATTTTTACAAGACACTGGGTGACAGGAAGAGTATTCTAAATACTGATGATTATCTGTCTCTTTAACATGTATATTAGTATGTATAATATTGTTTTCGTCTAATGAAACTTTACATCTAAAAATGATACGAGAGATTTAGAAACGTTCGCTGTAAATTTTATAGATGGATTAAAGTTATTCAAACTATCAATGAAAGCATTCAAATCATCAAGGGAATAACTCCATATGCAAAATATATCGTCAAGAAAACGGAACCATAAACTGGGGTTTAAAGAGCGTTGGCTTAAAAAGTCTTTTTCAAATTTACCCATTAAAAGCGAAGCGTAAGAGGGTGCCATAGAACTTCCCATTGCTGTTCCCATTTTTTGTATATAATGATCACCGTTGAACTGAAAGTTATTATTTTCTAGGACTAAGGAAAGAAGTTTACATATTTCATTACATGAAAGTTTTTTGGGGGGATTTTTCTCTAAAAAATGTCTGCAAGATTCTATTCCGTTTGTATGGGGAATGTTCGTATATAGAGATGTAACATCTAACGTAACAAGGTAATGTTCTCCCGACCCAAGAGAAGTGGTTTTCAGTTTGGCAATAAAATCAGAAGTGTCCCTGATATACGAACTTCAAGGTAGATTATGTGTTAATGGCTTTAAAATGGAATCTAGGTACTTAGAAATATTTTCTGTTCTAGATTTACAACCGGAAACGATCGGACGTCCAGAATAACCAAAAGGGTACTGTCTACTATACTGCTTATGAATTTTAGGTAGAATATAAAAGCCGAGAGTACGTACATCTACCGGAAAAATGTTAAATTCATCTAAAATATTCCCGTTAAACTTTATCTAATTCATCAATTCATTTTAAAATATTGCTATGAATAGAAGATGACGGATTATGATCGAGTTTAGTATAATACAGGGGATTTTTTTAAAAAAAAAATTCATGTATGGTAATAACGGCACATAGTAATAAATTTGATAAAATATATATACTACTATTACTTTCGTGTAGTTTATACTGCTTTTGTTTTCATTTAAGAAAAACTTATGAAGTGACTTGAAAGACATCTCTATCTCCCATTAGATAAATAACTATAAGTTAAAATATAAGAATGCAGCATTATGTAACCATTTTAAAGGTTCAATGAAGGAATTAACTTGCAGTCCTATTAAATCTTTAGTTAACAAAAAAGCAGTAGATCTGGGCAACTACCATTTTCCAAAGGAAACATTGCATTTAATTACAACTTTTTCTAATTCATTATACTAAAAACACGTTTCGCCATTTTGTACCAAATTCATTTCTGGGGACGGTTATTTGGGAAGTATTTGAAACGGATATCAATTGTTGTCGGACGTTTTGCAAAATTCATTTCAGGCATATAAAATACTATAAAATGTGCAGTAAATATTTTAAAGAAAAGCAACTGTGGTTTAGGGTTTTGCTAAACCACGAAATAAGTTCTTCCCCTTGAAACAGTCCTGTACATTGTCATTACATTTTATTTACCCTTAAACTGAAATCCAGTATGTTTGTCTCTTGTCTAGTAAGGTATGGTGGAATAAGAAACCTCAAAGGTCCTTATTACTTTTTGGAACGAAAGAAAGGGAAATGCGGATTAATAGGTGCTGCACTTATATTTACGGGTATACATGTATATATAACGTATTATTCACGAATGAAGATATGATGGCTCCGTCGAAACAATTAAGAAAACGCTACATTTTATATATTAAATACATATTAGTTGCTCGGACGCAATACCAGTATGTCTTAATCGAATCTGATACTGCAAGATTGGAATGTAATTGGCCTGATAGCAAATGTCATTCTCATATTTTGAAAACTAATATGGTTGTTTGTCATGTACATTTAAATTATTGGTGAAACGACTTTGTTTATGTAATTGCATTTAATTGATCGCAATGTAAACAACATTAAATTTTAGACCTCAGAATGATCAAATGATAATCTATGTTTGATCTTGATCAACACTGGTCGCACGTATAGACAGCAGCCTTAGAACTTGTTTTGCATACTTAAAGACAACGTCTCATAGTATTTGTTTTACAAGTCTACTCATCATGTAGTTTTACAATAACAAATATTTCTTAATCACAACTGACAAACTTTCATAACATATTTGCAACCGCTGTTAGAATTATAAACTTTAATATTTTGTTGGTTTGCCGCCAAACAAAGCCATACAAAGATGAAAAATTATACAATATCATTTCTTTGACTCTCTTGTCTTCTTCGACAACAACAAGATATTCTCGAATAAATCAAGCTGAAACAAGACATGTTCAGTCGTCAACAATATTTTATTATAGAATAAATCAAACTTTTACAAGACAAGTTATGGCAATAAATAATGTATTATGGACAACTGATTAGAGAGTATAGTCACAATAATAAATGTTTGATAATGTATAAAACCATCAAGATAACTACTATGTACATTTCTGTGACTAATGTTGTCCATAAAGTGTTTTAGACTGAAAATTGTTTGACAACTTATTAAGTACGATTTCTTTATGATTCTTTAAAGAATTGATAATATACTGTAAGATGATCATAATATTTAAATTATAAAACAGAACAAATAACCGTTATTTTAGTAAATGATAAAAGTTCAGTAGGTTAGAAGTGTGGTTAGCTTTGATAATTCTTTTTCTGATCATATTTCGTCAAATCGATCGGAAAATTGAGAAAAAAACGTCCAAAGAATAGAAAGCTTTGCTTCCTACATCCACAAACCTATTTGCAAATTTGAATCTGTATCGCCCTTTTTACAGAGTTTGAGATATATGCACTATTTTCTTAATTTCTGGTCCTGTTGCTTACTAAGCTTAAGTCTCTTAAGAAAGATATGA